TATTGTAAAACTACGACCAGGCAAGACTTTTGTTTTTCCAGGTGGATGTCAAATGAAGTCCCCCCATAACATGGCCATGCTACGGCGTATTGTCATTGGCCGACAATGAAAGGTCACTGTACCGGGCTGCTGTGAACAATCACAGCAGATCACATAACAATTGTAAACCATGAATAGCTTTGATTCATGCCATTCTTTGTGTACAATTGTGTTGTTAGCTGTGATTGGTCACAGTGATCAAATGGTACAGACAAGGCCAATCACAGCTAATCACAATGCACACTGAATGAATTGATTTCATTCCATTAAAACGGTTGTTTATAGCAATCAAATTCACCGATTTAAGCAATCATAGGGTTTTAAAAAAAATTCTGATCACTTCCCAAGACTAGTACAGTGTTACTAAGGGAACATTACATTGTACTGGTCACAGCACCTTAGAAAAAAAATTATTACTCTTTTTTTTTTTTCATACTGTCACCAGGCAGTGTCTCTGATTACCACCACACCAGTTATATGATGACGCTGCACTGGTGACAGTATGTAAAAAAAAGAAAAACAAAAAAACTTCAAACAACTTGCCATGCCTCTGACTAATTACCTTGGACTGTCTACTTTCCAAAAAGGGGTCATTTGTACTGTAGTGACATTTTCGGGCCTGAAGAAATTAGATCTGCAGTCAGTACATCAGCCCTTTGGGTCTGGTATGGGTTGTAAAGGGAACCCCATGCCAAAACGTAAAATAAAACCGGCGTGGGGTACCCCCCCCAAGATAACATATCCTTATCTAAGCATACAGCATGGCAGGTCAGGTCAGGAAAGGGGGGAGGGAGGGAAGGAGAAAGCGCCCCCTCAAGCTATACCAAGCCACATGCCCTCAACATGGAGGGGATGCTTTGGGGCAGGGGTCACCCCACCAAGCACCTGGTCCCCATGTTGATGAGGACAGGGGCCTCTTGCCCACAACCCTGGCCGGTGGTTGTGGGGGCCTGAAGGTAGGGGGCTTATTGGAATCTGGGAAGGTAGGGGGCTTATTGGAATCTGGGAGCCCCCTTTAAACAGTACACCCCCTCATGTGAATGAGTACCCTACTCATTCACCAAAAAAGTGTAAAAAGTAAATATATATATATATATATATATATATATATATATATATATATATATATAAAAAAGGCCCCCCGATGTAGATCCATCGTCAATCATGATGCTCACACCGCCACCACATAAAACAAAAAAAAAAAAAAAAGAAGAAAAAATCTGGTCCCAACGAGGTGATGTCACCAGGAGATCCTGTCCCCTTGTGAAGTCTCTGACACGGAGCATGCTGGGTTGGTGACGTCAACTTAGTTATTAAGGAGCTGTCAGACGGAAGGAGCCTTCATTGGGGCGGGAGGCTTTTGGGTTTTTTTCGGGTCGGTGGGTGGGGGGTGGACATTGTGATTGACAATGGACCTACACCGTGGGACTTTTTTTTTTTTTTTTTAAAGCGGTAGTAAACTGCATTAAAAAAAAAAAAGATGTAAAACTTAACTTAAAAATAAGCCATCCAGCGGCGCGCTGTCACCGCTGTAAAGGCTTCCACCTTCACCTGTCTTCCTTCCAATTTTGTGAGCTCCGGCCATCTGACTGAGACGTGATGACGTTACTCCAGCATACGGGAGTCACGGCACGGGTGCTCTGAAGGAACAGCACGGGTATGCCGTTCCTTCAGAGCGCATGCGCCAGCTAAAAAAAAACCAAAACCAAATATCTCCTAAACAGTGCACGTGTATGAGATATTCATTTTATCTACACAGAAGCTCTATTATAAGCTTGCCTCTAGGTAAAAATTAACAAAGTGGGTTTACTATCACTGTCATCAAGGATGTGTCAAAAACCTGTATTGTGTTTTTATTTGCTTTTTACGCTCCAAAGCACCCCCCCATGTTGAGCCTGGTATGGTTCAGAAGGGAGATTTCTCGCTTGTCCCCCCCCCCCTTCCCCCCCCTTTCCTCCTGACCTGCCAGGCTGCATGCATGCTCAGAGTCTGGTATGGATTTCGTTTTTTTTTTTTGGGGGGGGGGGGGGGGGGGGGTACTCCACTGTGTTTTTTCTTTTTTGCATTCAGCTGTCAATTTTTCTGCACTGAATCAAAAACGCACCGGAACACACCTAAACGTACCAAAAATGCACTGGAGCGCACATGTCCTTATTTAAAGCGGACTTCCACCTAAAATAAAAAAAAAAGTCAGCAGCTACAAAAACTGCAGCTGCTGAGTTTTAAAATACAGTCACTTACCTGTCCCTCGGTCCAGCGGTGTCCTCACCACCGCTGGTTTCACCGGCCGTCTTCTCTCCCCGGCGCCGGCATCTTCAGTGTGGGCACCCGGCTGTGACAGCTTGCGGCTTCACAACTGGATGCCCACCGTGCATGTGCGAGAAATGCTGCACTCTGTGAATGGCACCGTAGTCTTCTGTGACCTGCAGAAGACTACGGGGAGGGAGGGTAGGAGGACAACTTTCGCTTCTGATCACCTAGGCGATCGCGGCAGAAGTGGGAGCGGGTACCTGTCAAATTCGGGTACCCGCCCCCCAAAAGGTGCCAATCCTTAATGGGGAGCGGGAGACAAAGGCTTAAAAGCGGAACTTCCCCTTTTGGGTGGAGCTCCGCTTAAAAGACTTGACAGCTGGCTTCCCGGCCTTCACCTTGACAACGGCGGCCTCGCTCCTTAACGATGAAGATACTGAACGCAGCTTACACACTAAGCTAAACACTGCTCGACGCCAGAAAAAGACACTAAAACATTAGCGTTTGTCCAGCATTTCTAAGGCCTGCTTCACACCTATGCAGGTTGCGTGTGATCCGTTTCTGCAATGCTTTTTGCACATGCGTTGACGCGTTTTTCAGGTTTTTTGTTTCTTGTTGCCAGGCAAATTAACCCCCCTGGCGGTATTCCCGAGTGTAGCTCGGGGTAAAGTTTCAGCACCACAAGCGGTAACCCCAATCTACACTCGGGAATACACTGCAGCGTTGCTCCGGGATCTCTTCTTTGCTTACCTTGTCCTGCGCTCCCGCGATGTCCCCCCTGCAGTGTCCCCGGCCATGTCCTCCGGCCGATGCCGGCATCCGTCTTCCAGGTTCTGTTCCCTGTGAGCGTCGGGAAGTACGGAGGACAGAATGGCGGGAAATTTAAAAATGTGAAAAAGTGACATTCACTAAATACACTAAAATCACATAGTATTCCATTCCTGTATCAAACCATTTCACATACATTTTGTCCCGAGTGCTTTGTCCGGCGCCCTGCCTGCATTTTTTACTGTTCTTTCTGCCTGGAAACTGAAAAAACGTCCATGGCGTCCAAAAAGTGTGCCTTTAGGTCAAAAGCGGTTTTAGACCGGCTAGAGAACAGCGATAGTAAATCAGAACCACTTGCAGAATTGAGTGATAATGATTCGTGGGGGAAATTCCTCATCAGACACTGAAAACGATTCTGCGACTTTGCTCAGCGATGTGCAAACTTGGCGCTATATTTCACAGTTCAGTGTTTTTGGTTTGATTATATTGTTGAATTAAATGTATTATATTTTATGATTATTTATTAAACTATAATTTATGATTTATGACATGGGCAGCACAGTGGCTAAATGGTTAGCACTTCTGCCTGGCAGTACTAGGGTTCTTGGTTCGAATCCCAACCACGGCACCACCTGCCTGGAGTTTTCATGTTCTCCCTGTGTCTGCGTGGGTTTCCTCCGGGTACTCCGGTTTCCTCACACACTCCAAAGACATGCTGGTAGGTTAATTGGCTTCTCTCTAAATTGTCCCTAGTATGTGTATGTATGAATGTGAGTTAGGGACCTTAGATTGTACGCCCCTTGAGGGTTAGGGACTGATGTGAATGTACAATATATATGTAAAGTGCTGTGTAAATTGACGGCGCTATAGAAGAACTTGAAATAAATAAAATATTTGTGTTTCAAATTTTATCCTACCCAGGATGTTTACTAGACTCTTGTTCGGACAGATTTCAGTGAGTTATTCCTAAAAATTACAGCCTACAATAAAAAAAAACATATTTCCATGCAAAAAAAAAAATACACCGCTTTGAGCACAGAAATATGGACATAATCAGACCGCTAGGGAGGTTACAACGCAAAAACGCACTGCACGCTTTTCCGCACCGTCACCATTGAAGTCTATAGAACCAAAAATGTCACTTTTTGTGTTTAAAGAAAAGTCCCCGACCCTTTCCAAAAAAAAACACACCGGGTGAAAACGCAGCGACGTGAACCTGTCCCATAGGAAATCATGTTAAAACGGACTGTACTGCGTTTCTGCAAAACGTGTCGGAAACGCTTCTGTGTGAACCTGGGGCCAAGCAGTTTTGAGCTTTTGTAGTGTGCATGAAGACATGTAGACACCCAGGAGGACACAGAGGGGGGGTGTGCTGCATATGGACAGGCCCCATCACCCCACTACTGTCCCCTATATACAGGACACAACAATAAACACACCTATACTCTATGTATACACATCGCTACACTGAACTCATCAGAACCCCCCACAGCAGTAAGTTGTCAGCTGCTGCAGGTTGTCACCCGGATGTCCCAGCCTGGAGGGGGCCCCTCGATCTCTCCTCCAGCAAGCCCCCACCACACCCGTCCAGCCTGCCCCCAGAACACTCACCTGACACTAGGAGGCTCGGCTGGGCCCCGAATCCCCCCCTGGTGGCCCCTTTCCCCCCCTCAGCTGCACTCTGACACACGTGGGCACTCCTGGAAGGGTGACGTCGCCTCTCACGTGACTGGGAGGAGACGGTTGAATCATGTGACACCCAACAGGAAATCAGTACCGGAGGCTGGAAAAGCGCAGGATAGGCCGGAGGTCATGAAGCCCCGCCCCCTTTCTTCCTCTCCAGAGGGCTAATGATAGCGGGGAACTTCAACTCCCAGCATGCTCTGTTGTCAACAGGAAGTGGTGCTTGGGATGCGCCGGAAGTGGAGTTCAGGGGGGGGAAGATGGCGGCGCCCTGTGGGAGGATGTTAGTGTCAGGGAGAGTGTGGAGCTGCTGGGGTGAGGACATTGTGGATGATGTATTCTGTAGTCCTGGCTGGTGGTGTATGGAGCAGGTGACACACATCTGAGAGCTTTTATATTCATGTATGGGGACACCATTGTGCCCTGTTGTCTGGGAAGCCTCTGACACATATTGGTGGACATGTCTGTGTCCTCTAACAGCAAAGAGATTCACGCACTATTTTTGTTTTGTGTTAACCCCTCACCCTCCAGAGAATCCCCCCCCCCCCCTTCCTGACCAGGCCATTTTTCGCGATACGGCGCTGCATTACTTTAACTGACAATTGCGCAGTCATGCAGCGCTGCACCCAAATGAAATTTATATCCTTTTCTCCCCACGAATAGAGCTTTCTTTTGGTGGTATTTGATCGCCTCTGCGTTTGTTAGTGTTTGCGCTTTACAATAAAAAAGACCGACAATTTTGAAAAAAAAAAAAAAAAACAATATTTTTTACTTTTTGCTATAAAACATGTCCAGTAAAAAAAAATTAAAAAATCGAATTTTGTTATCAACTTAGGCCAAAATGTATTCTGCTAAATGTCTTTGCTAAAAACAAATCCCAATACGTGTAAATTAATTGGTTTATGTGAAAGTTATATCGTTTCCAAATGGCGGTATATATACTGGGATTTGGTTTTTTTTTATACCAGTAATGGCGGCGATCAGCGACTAATAGCAGGACTGCGTCTGGCATTCTGACACGGGGGGGGGGGAACTGACTTGGTGTCACTGACATCCCCAGTGACACCGATACAGTGATCAGTGCTAAGAAGCACTAACACTGTGCTCATGGCACTGGGCAGGAAGGGGTTAACATCTGGGGCGATCAAAGGTTTAACTGTGTGTATTTTATTGTGTAAGCACACTGCTATGCAGAGCCATACAAAGCAGCGTGCTGGAGCTGACAGGGAAGAGATCTGTATTGTTTACATACAGTTCTCTCCCCGTCAGTGATACTCGGTGATCGCCGGGTGCCAGCAGGGAATCACCGGCTGGGACCCAGTGATCAACAGCTGAAGCCGCCAATGGTGGCTCGGTTAGGGCGCGTGGGCCATCTACCCGGAAATGAAAAATCACGTATATATACGGGATTTTGCACAACTCTGCTGCCCTGTAGCAGTATTTCTGCTATAGGGTGGCGGGCAAGAGGTTTAATACAAAAATATTTTGAAAAAATGTTTGCTGTTAAAGCTGCAAATGTCCAGCCATGAGTTTTCTGTGGTCTTGGATGGCGGTCTGTTTCAAATGTCACTTTGTGCATTGACATTCCTCCATAGACCCAGACTGGGCCGACACTGTGGTCAGTTGCTGCCTTTGCAGGATCCGCAGGCAGTTGCAAGCAGAACTTGACTATATCTGAGCACCACAAACTGAAAGCGCGATTTAATTCATTTTTAAATATTCATAGCAACCCCCCCCCCCATCCATCCATGTCTCCGTGCTTTATGTGGTTGAGAAATGAATTTGAAAAACACCCCATTAGCATTTACGGCCATATTGAGTAAGGGACCTCCAGATGAAGACTTCTAGGATATATGACATCATTTTGGCCTAGGCCAGGAACCAGAAAGTAACTAATGAAATGTTTAAAAAAAAAAATTAAAACAAGTAAATATAATTTCCCTTCCTATCTATTTACTAATGCTAGCAGTATAAGGATTGAGAGTTGATTTCTGCTTTAAAGCCCCTCTCCAGGATAAATATAAGCCCCTTTGAAGCGATCACCTATATTAAAAAAAAAAAAAAAAAAATGCCCTTTTTAACTTACCTTAAGCTGCAATCAAGTGAAACAACCAGTCTTCTTCTCTCTTGTTTACTTCCTGGAAAGGTCCTTGTTTAGATGTCCTCATCACTTCCTGTAAAAACGTGGACACTCCCTATGGGATGGCCACCAGCGTCCTCTCATGAAAGGGAAGACGACGACATCACCCTGAGGGGAATGGCAGGAGACCGGTAGTCTCAGGGTGGCATTGCAACCCTGGATTGGAGGTCTGGGGTGCCATTGCAGCACTGGATTGGAGGTCTCAGGGCGCCATTGCAGCGCTGGATTGGAGGTCTCAGGGCGCCATTGCAGCGCTGGATTGGAGGTCTCAGGGCGCAATCGTACCTCTCTCAGGGGATCGCTGGAGGTCTCAGGGGCGCCGTCGCACCTCTGGATCGGAGGTCTCGGGGCGCCGTCGCACCTCTGGATCGGAGGTCTCGGGGCGCCGTCGCACCTCTGGATCGGAGGTCTCGGGGCGCCGTCGCAGCGCTGGATCGGAGGTCTCGGGGCGCCATCGCAGCGCTGGATCGGAGGTCTCGGGGCGCCATCGCAGCGCTGGATCGGAGGTCTCGGGGCGCCATCGCAGCGCTGGATCGGAGGTCTCGGGGCGCCATCGCAGCGCTGGATCGGAGGTCTCGGGGCGCCATCGCACCTCGCAGCGCTGGATCGGAGGTCTCGGGGCGCCATCGCAGCGCTGGATCGGAGGTCTCGGGGCGATCGCAGCGCTGGATCGGAGGTCTCGGGGCGCCATCGCAGCGCTGGATCGGAGGTCTCGGGGCGCCATCGCAGCGCTGGATCGGAGGTCTCGGGGCGCCATCGCAGCGCTGGATCGGAGGTCTCGGGGCGCCATCGCATCGCAGCCATCGCTGGATCGGAGGTCTCGGGGCGCCATCGCAGCGCTGGATCGGAGGTCTCGGGGCGCCATCGCAGCGCTGGATCGGAGGTCTCGGGGGGCGCCATCGCAGCGCTGGATCGGAGGTCTCGGGGCGCCATCGCAGCGCTGGATCGGAGGTCTCGGGGCGCCATCGCAGCGCTGGATCGGAGGTCTCGGGGCGCCATCGCAGCGCTGGATCGGAGGTCTCGGGGCGCCATCGCAGCTCTGGATCGGAGGTCTCGGGGCGCCATCGCAGCTCTGGATCGGAGGTCTCGGGGCGCCATCGCAGCGCAGCATCTGGATCGGAGGTCTCGGGGCGCCATCGCACCTCTGGATCGGAGGTCTCGGGGCGCCATCGCACCTCTGGATCGGAGGTCTCGGGGCTGGCAGCACCAATTCCATGTTCAGTGAAGCACAAAGAGGGGGCCAGGATATTTGGCATTTATTCACCTTTTAATTGTTCACAAAAAAGAGGAACTTACCCTTTAACTAGTTGTAAAGTGTACCTAAAGTCATTAGGAATGAAAGTGATTGTAAATCAAACATTTTGAGTTGCCAGCAGAACGGAGATTAAAAGAAAATCTTAAAATGTTCCTGTAACATCTGTCTTAGAGGGAATTCACACTGAAAAGATATTGTCTGTTGTGTCTACAGAACAGGAAGTAAAGGGAAATTGTTCGGCTTTAGAATAGATGTACATTTAGTAACTTATTCAAATAAAAAAACAATTGATTCTTTTTAGGAAGGCTCCAAGGTGCAGGAGGAAGGGTCACCAACTTGATGCCATCAGGAGCTCCTAATGTCAAAAACGCTGCACACCAGGACACCTCTGCGGGGAAAAGCTGAAGACATGGACACCGAGTACAGGAGCAGCTACTATATTGGGGGTGCGAAAGCACAAAACCCTATGAAAAAAGTGGGCATTGCATGGTAAGACAAACCACAGAGGGCGCTATCCATCAAAATGTGATATTTGTTATGGTTAAGGTATGTACTCACAGGCGGTTTTATTCTACCCCCCCCCCCCCCAAAAAAAAATTGAATGAAGACATAAGTTAACCTCTTTTTGCCCACCATGGCATCCTTTGTTTTGAATGCCCAGAGGGGCGGGAATAATTGGCAATCATGTGATCAGTGATATTGACTGCCACTTGCTAGTGGGGACCAAGAGCTCTCTATGATAGCTCTGTCTCTGTGCTAGGAGTTAACCACCTCTGGACTGGCCATTTTAGTAAACTGGCCAGTTGGGGTTAATCTAACAGGGAGTTTAAAAATGCTCTTGTTCAGGGAGCATAGAACAGGGGCGTCAGACTCCATTTCATCAGGGGCCGTATCAGCATTATGGGTGCCCTCAAAGGGCCGGTTGTATCTGTAAGACTAGATGTCCAGAGCACTCCACCCCCCCATTACATCAGATGTCAAGAATCTCACACCCTCCCTAACATCACTGTGCACCCCCTTTGGAGGCAGAGCTGGAAAGCAGAAAGTGCAGGGTCTGGAGGAGGACCAGAGGAGGAGTGGAGTCAGTTATCTGAGTCTGCTGAATGCTGAGACCAGGGGAGGCAGAGATGAGGGGGTGCTGCAGTTGCAATGAGAGGTGCAGGATTTGGCAGAGGAGTTCTGTTCTCCTCTCTGCTGCCGACTGCTGAGACAAGGTGGGGGCGGAGACAAAGGGGGACCTGCAGGAGAGGTGCAAGGGCCACATGGAATGGCCAGGAGGGCCAGATTCGGCCCGCAGGCCTTGTGTTTGAAACCTGTGGCGTAGAGTATGCCAAATGCCTGTGATCTCACTGTCACTGGATAGCACAGATCACATGCAAAGTGCCCAGCACAAATTAGAGCAGCTTTGTGTCTTGTCATCTTTGTGATGGCCAATCACGGCAATCACAAATGCAAACACTGTCTGTGTTTACATTTGAGGCCCCTTCTCTTCCTCGCACAAGGGAGAATGGGAGGGAAGGAGGATTGAAGGAAGGGGATGATAGGAATAGAGGTAGGCAGCAACACATTCAAGGTGAGGGGTTTTAATTAGGTTGATTGTGGAAGCATTTTTTAATCCTTTATATCTAGTGCATTGTTACCAATTCCATGTGTTAACCCCCCAATATCAAAATGTTTTCATTTCTAAGAAAAAAAAAAGGACCAAAACTGGGCTCGACAAATCCCAGGCGACAGGTTGCAATAGCGACTAGAAATTGCGTCCTGGCACCTGGATTTACACACTTCCTCCCATAGACTTTAATGCCAAGTCGTGTCCCATAGACTTCAATGCAAAACCGCCTCCCATTGACTTCAATTTACAAAAAAAAATCGCCTCCCGTTGACTTCAATTTAAAAAAAGGAAAAAAAAAACGGCTCCAATTGACTTCAATTAAAAAAAAAATGTCTCCCGTTGACTTCAATTTAAAAAAACGCCTCCTATTGACTTCAATTTAAAAAAAAACGCCACCATTGACATCAATTTTTTTAAAAAACGCCTCCCATTGACTTCAATTAAAAAAAAAAAAAAAACCGCCTCCCATTGACTTCAATTTAAAAACTCCTGTCAATAGCAATCTTATTTGCACACTTATCTCCGCATTCTACTTATCACTTGTGAGTCTGGAACGCGCCGCTACAAACTCGCACAGGTCCCTTTTCATAATGGCCCACAAAACACAATGTGTGTGGATGGCATCCGTGTGAACCACCCCAATGGGAACACATACAGTAATACCTAGCCTGTCGTGTGACTCTGTGAGTTTGAAAACGCATCCAGAATCGCTTATGTGTGAACGAGACCGGCTGCTTTCACACCTGGGTGCTTTGGGATCGCGGCAGAATTGCTGTGGGCGCAAAACGCAAGTTCAGGTGCCATTATTTTCAAAGGCGCCTAAAACATGGTGCAGTGTTCCCGTGATTGTCGCGCGGCAAATCGTGTAAAGCTTGTAGGCCAAAAGTTGCCTTGCCCTGGACGCTGACAACCCACTATAACCTAACAAAATAAAAAGCCAAAAGAGCTTTGACTGTACTTCTCCTTTAGTCAGGAAAAGGGTTGGTTTATTTAACCGTCTCCCACCCCCCATATAAGGAAATGACGGGTGGGGAGGCGGTTCTCTCTTTCTGGGAGGACGTCATATGACATCCTCCCACTCTAACTGCGCATGCGCGGTTCTGGGGGCGCGCAGCGCGGTGATCAGTGGTTCCCTGTGTCCCTCGGACTCAGCGGATCACCGATCAGTGGAAAGAGCCGCAGATGTCGGCTCGGTCATGTGATCTGCTGTGTCCAATCACAGCTGATCGCATGTAAATAAGGAAATACCGGTTATCGGCATTCCTCTCCTCACGAGCTGTCACGCTGACAGAGGAGAGGAGAGCCGGTAATCGGCATTCCTCGGAGGGGACATGTACACTGATCATCAGTGCCCTGATGATCAGTGTAGCCCCATCAGTGCCGCCTGCTAGTGCACATCAGTGCCACATATCAGTGCCCATCTGAGCTGCCTTTCAATGCCACCTGTCAGTGCCACCTATCAGTGCCGCCTATCAGTGCCATATATGAGTGCTGCCTTTCAGTGCCCAGCAGTGATCCCTGTCAATGCCCATCAGTGCCACCTACCAGTGCCTCCTCATCAGTGCCCATCACTGCAGCCTCATTAGTGCACATCAGTGAAGGAGAAAAAAATGTTTTTCAAAATTTTCAGTTGTTTTTTATTTAGTTTAGCAAAAAATAAAAACCCCAGGAGGTGATTAAATACCACCAAAAGAAAGCTCTATCTGTCTCAAAAAAAATTATAAAAATTTCATATGGGTACAGTGTTGCATGACTGCGCAATTGTCATTCAAAGTGTGACAGCGCTGAAATCTGAAAATTGGCCTGGACAGGAAGGGGGTATAAGTGCCGGTAGGCGAGGGGTTAAACTCTGTTTTTGGGGCTTCACCATAAATGAACTAATGGAAGCTGAAGGTATGGCAGATTTACATTACATTGGTCCAACAAGGATAGGTGAGTGTGGATGAGCATACCTGTTTGATCCCGTAGCGTACATGCTGGAAATCGCGGTAGTAATCACCACTACTACAGTTTTGCTATCTTCTATGCTCTGTGCCAAGTGGCTGCTCTGTACTTACTGAACATTGGAGGTCACTCACCCAGCATGGACACCTTTCAGCAAATACTTTGAATTTCTCAATGAATTCAAAGTGTTCTCTGATTGGACAAGGTGGAGAGTCAGGGCGGAGTAGTTGTATGATGTCCACCTCCTCCAATCAGAGAATACTGCATTTGTTGGGAAAATAAAAAGTGTTTTTTGAATGTTACCCATTCCAAGCGAGCCAGTTCCTGTGTTCAGTAAGCTGTGGGGCAGCTGCCTGGCACAGGACCGGCACGCTAGCAGCTAAAACCGTAGTAATGGTGGCTACTACAGTAATTTTCGGTTTACGAATGAAAATCCATTGAAAATAATGCCTCGGGGGGCCGGGATCTAGGCAGTGTGAATATCATGATTGATGATGGATCTACATCGGGGGACTTTTTTTTTTTAATAAAGCACTTGTCAAAACTTGTGTTTTTTATTTACTTTTTACACTTTTTTGGTGAATGAGTAGGTGTACTCATTAACATGAGGGGGGGGGGTGTCCTGTTTAAAGGGGGCTTCCAGATTCCAATAAGCCCCTTGCCCGCAGACCCCACAACCACCGGCCAGGTTTGTGTGGAAGAGGTCCTTGTCCCCATCAACATGGGGACAAGGTGCTTGGGGGGGGGGGACCCCCCCTTGCCCCAAAGCACCCCCTTCATGTTGAGGGCATGTGGCTTGGTATAGTTTGGGGGGGCGCTTGCTCCCTCCCCCCCCCTTTCCTGACCTGCCACGCTGTATGCTTGGGTAAGGATCTGCTATGGATTTTGGGGGGTACCCCACGCCGTTTTTATTTTACATTTTGGCATGGGGTTCCCCTTAAAACCCATACTAGACCCAAAAGACCCATGTACTGACGGCAGATCTCTTCCCCCGCCCTGAAAGCATGGTTCAGGAGGAGGGGGGGTGCTCGCTCGTCCCCCCCTTTCCTGACCTGCCGGGCTGCATGCTCGGATAAGGGTCTGGTATGGATTTTTTGCCTTTTTTTTTTTTTTTTTAAATTTTGGCATGGGAGTTCCCCTCAAAATCCATACCAGACCCAAAGGGCTTGGTATGGATGGGAGGGGGGACCCCATGCCATTTCTTTCTTTTTTTAATTGCCGGGAATTCTTTTACATCCAGCTGTCAGTGGGGAGCTCCCATGAACACATGGTTGTCACTACTAAAATACCGCATGACTTGATAAAATGACTCATGTGGTGTTTTAGTAGCTTTTACTTTTTTCTGACCTCCGGAACGGATTAATTGGTTTTCGGTGCATTCCTATGCGAAACGGCGTTTCGGTTTACAAATTTTTTGCTGTACGAAAAGTCCCGCATTTGTAAACCGAGCTACGCCTGTACTTGCATATCCCAGGCTGAGGGCTGGCTCACATTAGCACTAGCAGTTAAGCGGCGGTAAAATCTTGCAATTGGGCTGCGTTTTTACTGCCACACCCAAATGCTCCCCCCTTTCGCTGTGGAAGCAGCAGCTGGGGTGTACACCTGCCACGACTGTGATGTTCTGCTTTGTGACCTTAGTGACACTGTACTACTTGTGGGGAGTGATGAAGATTTTTTTTTTTTTTTACACTGATTGCTTTTACACCCATAAAGGCTGTAAAAGCAATAATTTCTCCTTCTCTCTGGCTGCATTCTTGCAGCCATTGAGAAATACTGTGTGAGCTGTGATTGGTCACAGCTTGTTACATGGTACAAGGCTGTTGTGAATAGCCTTGTACCATGTGACCTCTGTGATCATTCACAGATTTCACACGTAGTAAGCAATGATGTCAGCAAGTGACATCTTGGTTACTACTCTTCATGTGATCACTGATTGGCCAATCAGTGATGACATGATCAGGACCTCACACAGAGGTCCCGTACAGCGATCGGTGTTTCTCCAGACACAGCAGGCACCGGATCGTGGTGCTGCGCGCTCCCAGGGAGTGCGCACAAGCAGGGAGGACATTTATAAACGGCCACCCGCTCCTGCACTGCTCACGTCCAGCCGCTTATATATTTGGGCCGGACGGGAAGTGGTTAAAGGGTGCCTCAGGACTGTCCATAATTGTAAAGGGTGCCTCAGGACTGTCCATAATTTTAAAGGGCGCCTCAGGACTGTCCATAATTTTAAAGGGCGCGCCTCAGGACTGTCCATAATTTTGAAAGGGCGCCTCAGGACTGTCCATAATTTTAAAGGGCGCCTCGGGACTGTCCATAATTTGAAAGGGCGCCTTGGGACTGTGCATAAATTTAAAGGGCGCTTCGGGACTGTCCATAATTTTAAAGGGCGCTTCGGGACTGTCCATAATTTTAAAGGGCGCCTCGGGACTGTCCATAATTTTAAAGGGCGCCTCGGGACTGTCCATAATTTTAAAGGGCGACTCGGGACTGTCCATAATTTTAAAGGGCGACTCGGGACTGTCCATAATTTTAAAGGGCGCCTCAGAACTGTCCATAATTTTAAAGGGCGACTCGGGACTGTCCATAAATTTTAAAGGGCGCCTCAGAAGACTGTCCATAATTTTAAAGGGTGACTCGGGACTGTACATAAATTTTAAAGGGCGCCTCAAAAGTGTCCATAATTTTAAAGGGTGACTCGGGACTGTACATAAATTTAAAGGGTGCCTCAAGACTGTCTATAATTTTAAAAGGTGCCTCAGGACCAGGGGCGGACTGACAACTCATGGGGCCCCCGGGCAATAGGGGATCATGGGGTCCCTGTGTCTTTACCCAAACTCAAAAAAGCCTATGAAAAAGGTACCAAGGGCATCTCATGGGGCCCTGTACTGACCCCGAGCCCTTGGGCAGTGCCCGAGTTTCCAAATGGTCAGTCTGCCCCTGCTCAGGACTGTCCATAATTTTAAAGGGTGCCTTGACTGAAGAAAGGTTGAGAAACACTGGTATAGTGTACAGCGCACTCACTTTTTATATGTTTTGTATTTTTCTGGAGTTCAAGAAAAGAGTAGCAGCAGTTCGCTATATTTATTCACATACTCATTTATTCATTGTCCTTTAATCATTCTTTTTAGGGGTGTATCGCAGGTTTTTCCTTTTTTACGTCTAATAAATGTCTCCTTACTGCCTGTCAAATGATCTTTGAAGAGCAATCCAAATTGCTGTACAGAGATCAAAGCAAACATGAATGAACCCTAAAACAGCGGGCAAGGAAGCGACATATTGCCTCCTCACTGCTTGTCAAACACCCCTGAAAATCGATTCACTGGGTATCACCTTTCAGAGGGGCAGCCACACGTATGAACAAGCCTGATCTGTCTCCCAGCAGGATGATAACGGGTTAAGCATGTTGTGATTGTACACAGACCAGAGTAGCGGCACGCAGATTAGCGGCAGGTGCCAGCTGCTCTGATTACATTATATCGACCTCTCCTAATCTTATTTTTATAACAGGGCGATCGGGTTCCCATCTGGCATCCTACTATTTCTGTATGCAAGGAAAAAGGTGAATCAGCAACGCGTAGATCAGATGAAAGCGCGGCAGCGGATGAGAGACGCCAACAAAGGGCCATATGAGAGCAAGAGATACAAGTCTTTGTAGACGACGTCCATTCTGCTCTATCCAGCTCCGAGTTCAACCCAGGAGGACAAATGTCATATATTGCAGCTTGTCAGTCCTTAGGCTGGCCATACACTATACAATTTTCTGTCCAATTTCCTTTAGATTTACCTTCAACTATGTAGTGCAAGAGCCCGCCTAATTGGATACAAATGAAAGTGTTGTTAGGTTTGACCTCCTATTACCGTATTTGCCGGCGTATAAGACGACTTTTTAACCCATGAAAATCTTCTGAAAAGTCGGGGGTCGTCTTATACGCCGGTATATAAGGCGAGCCGGTGTCAGGGCGGCACTTTTTCGAGGGGCGACGCGGTGGCGGAAGGGACACTAAGTACAGGGGCGGGCAGGGGGCTGCTGTACCTTACCTGGCCCCGGTCCCACCACGATCCGGTCCAGGAAGCGCGGCTGCTCCTTCTTTCAGTTCGTCTGCTCGATGATCGCGCGGCCGCTCGGCTCCACCTCCTCACTGGTGATTGGGCGCCAGCACTGGAAAGGCACACAGGCGACCAATCACCAGCGAGGAGGAGCGGAGCCGAGCGGCCCCGCGAAAATCGAGTGAGGGAGCGGCCAGTAAGTGTGCAGCAGCACCATGCTGTGACACTCTTGGCACTATTCCTCTCCCCCACTGACACCAACGATGGGGCACTATTCCTCTCCCCCACTGACACCAACGATGGGGCACTGTTCCTCCCCCACTGACACCAACGATGGGGCACTGTTCCTCCCCCACTGACACCAACGATGGGGCACTGTTCCTCCCCCACTGTTCCTCCCCCCACACCAACGATGGGGCACTGTTCCTCCCCCACTGACACCAACGATGGGGCACTGTTCCTCCCCCACTGACACCAACGATGGGGCACTGTTCCTCCCCCACTGACACCAACGATGGGGCACTGTTCCTCCCCCACTGACACCAACGATGGGGCACTGTTCCTCCCCCACTGACACCAACGATGGGGCACTGTTCCTCCCCCACTGACACCAACGATGGGGCACTGTTCCTCCCCCACTGACACCAACGATGAGGCACTATTCCTCCCCCCACTGACACCAACAATGAGGCACTAGTCTTATACGGCGAGTATAGCTCAAACCCTATATTTGAACAGGAAAAGTAGGGGGTCGTCTTATACGCGGCAAATACGGTATATGGTTTTGGTAAATCTAAACCAAAAATCTCAAGAAAATTGTATAATGTATGGCCAGCCTTATAGGTATGTGCTGGCTGCATTCGTTTTCTTTTTGCAGGTTTTGCCTGTACTGGTGTCACAGCTGTAATTAATTTTTGTAATTGGGATGAGTTGGTTTAATGTCACAATAAATCTATTCTATTAAATGAAGAAGTAAAGTTTCGTACGGCTAATTATTGTCTCCTATACAGTAAATCAGTTTTTTTTTTTCTTTTGTAGATCTTCAAATGATTGATGCGTAGAGAGATCTATATCATGGGTTTCCATTTTTTCATTGGTTTCTGTTGTATCTTTATTTTAAAACAAAAAAAACAACCTGCAGTAAATAAAATTTATGATCTGTATAAGGTTGGACCCCAAAGTCACATGACAAGTCACACAAGTGTGCATGGGCTCTAAAATTTTAGAGGAGCTCAGTGACTCCAAGCGTGGCCCCGTGATAGGTGGCCTCCTGTGCAATAAGTCCATCCGTGACATTTCCTGGCTACTAAATATTCCACGCTCAACTGTTAGTGGGATTATAACAAAGTGGAAGCAAACTGGGAACAACAGCAACTCAGCCACCAAGTGGTAGGCCACGTCACATGACAGGGGGGGGCGCATGCTGGGGGATTATAGCTGACCTTGGGGTTGTGCCTTTGCAGTGTAGAGGCTTCATGGAATGGGCTTGCAGCTGCCCTTACATAGTGCAATGCAAAGCGTTGGATGTCGTGGTGTAAAGCAGCCGCCACTGGACTCTTAAGGGGAGAGTCTGGAGTGCCTACGCTTCTCTGGCCAATGGACGTGTCTGGGTTTGGCGGTGGCCAGGATTTGGACTGACTGCATTGTGCCAAGTATAAAGTTTGGTGGGGGATTCTCTAGTTCCAACTCTTTGTGACATTTTGGACAATTCCATGCTCCCAACTTTGTGGGGAGTTTGGGGATGGCCCCTTCCTGTTCCAACATGACTGCCACCAGTGCACAAAGCAAGGTCCATAAAGACATGGAGGAGCCAGTTTGGGGTGGAGGAACTTGACTGCCTGCACAGAGTCCTGACCTCAACCCCATAGAACACCTTTGGGATGAATTGGAGGGCAGACTGTGATCCAGGCCCCTCCCCCGACATCAGTGCCTGACCTGACAAATGTGCTTCTGGAAGAATGGTCCAACCTTCCCATAGACACCCTCCTAAACCTTGTGGACGGCCTTCCCAGAAGAGTTGAGGCTGTTATAGCTACAAAGGGCGGGGCCAACTCAATATTGACCCTACGGACTAAGACTGGGGGGGGGGGGGGGGCCAAATGTGTATAATCTTTCCAACCAATAATTTACCATTTTTCTTTTTCAGTCTTTTTTTTTATTTTAAGTTATTACAGGAGAAAGATACAAATCGTTTCCATGCTAAGGGCTTATTTACACTAACAACAAAGACTGCCGCTCCTCCTAAAAGTGGTCCACGCAGTCAGTCAGTGAGGAGACAATATGTCACCCCTTAAATGTAATACGACTGTGCATTGCACACGGTTGCAGTATGGCCCCATTCCTTTGAAAGAGTTGCAGCTGGTGGGTGGTAGTGCCCACCGAACACGCTAGGGGGGTACAATTTCTCCTGAGGGCACGAAGCAAGGTGTCACAGCCAAAGCATGTGTACCATCAGGTCTCCCTTGCTGAGTGGCTGCCCTGCTATTTTCCTCAATGATTACAAGACGTTCTCCGATTGGACAAAGTGGAGATTGTGACATCATCATCCTGCTTATCCACCTTCTCCAATCAGAGAATGCTTTCCATTCATTGAGGAAAATGCAAGGTATTCTCTGAATGGCACCTATGCCGAGAGAGTGACCTCCTGCGTTCACCTTGCAGCAGGGCAGCCATTCAGCATGGGACCCAGAAGCAGGGCCGTGGATAAGGGGGTGCCACCAGTCCTCCTGTACGGGGCCCAGGCAGCTGGGTGAATCGGACGAGGGCAGGGAGGGTGATTGGCACAGTGGGGGGCAATTACTGGAACCAATCCCCTGTATGGCTCGCTCTACAGCAGCTGAAAGCCTGCTTCTCTCTCTTCTGCTGGCTTTCAGCCGCTGCACAGAGAGCCATATAGGGGATCAGTTGCAGTAATTGCCCCCCCTGCAGCACCCATCATCCTCCCTGTACACCATACATTTCCCCCTGCTGACCAGTTCCCCCGCAGCACCCATCACCCGCCCTGTACACCATACATTTTCCCCCTTGCCAGCCCCCCCCCCCCCCAGCACCCATCCCGCCCTGTACACCATACATTTCCCCTGTTGCCAGCCCCCCCCCCGCGCCCATCATCCGCCCTGTACACCATACATTTCCCCCTGTTGCCAGCCCCCCCACAGCACCCATCACCCTCCCTGTACACCATACATTTCCCCCTGTTGCCAGCCCCCTCCGCAGCACCCATCACCCTCCCTGTACACCATACATTTCCCCCTGCTGACCAGCCCCCTCCACAGCACCCATCACCCTCCCTGTACACCATACATTTCCCCCTGCTTGCCAGCCTCCTCCGCAGCACCCATCACCCTCCCTGTACACCATACATTTCCCCCTGCTGACCAGTTCCTTCCGCAGCACCCATCACCCTCCCTGTACACCATACATTTCCCTTTGCTGACCAGCCCCCCCCCCCTCGCAGCACCCATCACCCCCCTGTACACCATACCCCCCTGTTGCCAGCCCCCCCCCACAGCACCCATCACCCTCCCTGTACACCATACATTTCCCCCTGCTGACCAGCCCCCTCCGCAGCACCCATCACCCTCCCTGTACACCATACATTTCCCCCTGCTGACCAGCCTCCTCCGCAGCACCCATCACCCTCCCTGTACACCATACATTTCCCCCTGCTTGCCAGCCCCCTCCGCAGCACCCATCACCCTCCCTGTACACCATACATTTCCCCCTGCTGACCAGCCCCCTCCGCAGCACCCATCACCCTCCCTGTACACCATACATTTCCCCCTGTTGACCAGTTCCTTCCGCAGCACCCATCACCCTCCCTGTACACCATACATTTCCCCCTGTTGCCCAGGCCCCCCCACAGCACCCATCACCCTCCCTGTACAATGTACATTTCCCCCTGCTGACCAGCCCCCTGCAGCACCCATCACCCTCCCTGTACAATGTACATTTCCCCCTGCTGACCAGCCCCCCCCCCCCCCCCCCCGCAGCACCCATCACCCTCCCTGTACACCATTTCCCCCTGCTGACCAGCCCCCTGCAGCACCCATCACCCTCCCTGTACACCATACATTTCCTCCTGCTGACCAGCCCCCCCTGCAACACCCATCACCCTCCCTGTACACCATACATTTCCCCCTGCTGACCAGCCCCCTCCGCAGCACCCATCACCCTCCCTGTACACCGTACATTTCCCCCCCTGCTGACCAGCCCCCTCCGCAGCACCCATCACCCTCCCTGTTCACCATACATTTCCCCCTGTTGCCCTGCCCCCCCCCCCCCCACAGAGCTTCCGGTTTCCCTCCTATCCTTCCCATCGGCAGCTGCAAGCACACAATAGGATCCTTCAGGATGGAGTGTAGGGGAAAGGTCTGGTAAATATGTCACATTACCAGCCCCTTCTTTTCTTGAATGAACACAATGAGTGATCGGTACCGATCACTTGCTGTACTCATTGATAACTGAAACTGTGGGGGTTGTTTTTAGGGGGAGGGGGGGCCCTGTCAGGTTGGTTGTATGGGGCCCCCGTGGTTTCTAACAGCAGCCCTGCCCGGAAGACAGTGAGGATCATTGTAGCAGCAGCGGCTACAGCGACGATTCTCCACT